CCTCCCCCCTCTCATGTGCTTGCTCTCTCTCATTCTCTCTCTCTCAAATAAATAAATAAAATCTTTAAAAAAAAAAAAAAGAAAAGAACTGAAGGGGAAAATAAGACCATTTAGAGGAAAATAAAAATCACTTATAACCTCTCTCTTTTAACATTATGGTGAATTTTTCTCCAGGCTATTTTTAATGCATAAATACTGGAATGATTGGTGCCTCGGTAGATATACTCTTCTATAGTAGCTTTTTGTACTTAGCAATATGTCGTGAATATTTTCTCAAGTCATTTAGTGTTTTCATATAATAAAATGCTCTTTGGGGCACCTGGCTGGCTCAGTTGGAAGCACATGTGACTCTTGACCTTGGGGTCATCAGTTCAAGCCCCACATTGGGTGTAGAGATTTCTAAAAAAAGAAAAAGAAAATAAACTTAAAAAAATGTTCTCATATAATAATATTAAATGTTCCCAATAATAAGGATAATGCTTACCATTTACTGGGTGCCTATTATACCTGCTGCCATCCTACGTGCTTTACATAATCAACTTATTTAATCCTTGCAACTGTCCTGAAGATAGATCTCATGGGTTCATAGGTAAAAGAGCTGAGGTTTGAAGATGTTAAGTGATTTGCTCAACGATGCCCAGTAGCCAACAGATTCTTCTCACTCTTCCTCTGCTCCTTCTGCTATGACACATTGGCTCCCTTGATTTTTGATGACTGCATAATATGACATCAGGTTAAAAACACCATGATTTAATTCTTTTTGTATTTTCAGACATTTATGTTTGATTTTTTAGGTATGATTAAATATCATGTAATATGTAGAATATAAGTGATTTTTTTATTTTTTATTTTTTTAAAGATTTTATTTATTTCTTTGACAGAGAGAGACGCAGCTAGAGAGGGAACACAAGCAGGGGGAGTGGGAGAGGGAGAAGCAGGCTTTCCGACGAGCAGGGAGCCCGATGCGGGGCTTGATCCCAGGACCCTGGGATCATGACCTGAGCCCAAGGCAGACGCTTAACGACTGAGCCACCCAGGTGCCCCGTAAGTCATTTTTTTTAAAGATTTCATTTATTTATTTGAGAGAGAGAGAGCAGGAGGGAGAGGGAGAGAAAATCTGAAGCAGACTCTACGCTGAGTGCAGAGCGTGACGCAGGGCTCAATCCCATAACCACAAGATCATGACCAGAGCCGAAACCAAGAGTCCGACGCTTAACTGACTGAGAGAGCTATCCAGGCGCCCCTAAGTCATTTTCATTAAACAAACTATGTACACATGTTTACCTATGTGTGCATTAAATAAAAACATTTGGCAATTAACAGCAATTATTCCTAAGGAAGAGGAATTCATGGAATGGGTGGGGAGGACAAGGGGAAGTTTCACTATCATCTTGTTCACCTCTGTCTGGCTTCAAATATTTTTTAAGATCACAAGTGTGTATTATGACAGTAACTAAAAAACTAAAAACATGGTAATGAAGGTTTTTATATAGAATGCTCGGGCACATTTCTGATTATTTTCTTTGGATAAATTTCTAGAAGAAATAACAAGCCAAAAACAGGAGAATTTTTAAAGTTTCTTAGTACATGTCGTAAAATAGCCTTCCCTCCAAAATTTATATACCTACAGCAGAAGTATATGAGTGCCGGTTTGCTGCTCTTTGGGTAACCCTTGGTATTAACATTCTTCTTGTCTTTGCCTATGTCATAGATGAAACATTATATCAAATTTTGTTTTAGTCTTTGTTCTATAGATTATTGAGTGAGGTTGGATATTTTTTTCTGTTTATCAGTCATTTTTGTTTCTTTTCTTTTTTGGGAGTTGCCCATTCGTGTATTTTGCCATATTTCTATTGGCAGATTTGCCATTTTTTTTTCTTGTTAATTTGCCAGAATTCCTTATATATTATAAATACAGAAATATTTGTCACATTTATTGCCAGTATTTTTACCTAACTATAAAAATACAGTCACCTACCTACATTTGCCTTTTGGTTTGGTGTATGACATTCTTTTGAAAAACAGTAGTTAAAATTAAAGAAGTTGAGTAGCCAAGTCTGTCAGTCTGGTAGGAGTAATTCAGTTGCTTGTGTTTTGAAACTCACATGTAGCAGCTGTTTTTAAATTTAAATTGGGGTGGAAGAGACAGAAGCTGAGATTTAAATGATTTATGGAAGGATTCGTAGGTAGGAGGCAGTAAAGCTGGGCTTGAGAACGTTAATGTTTAAAAAATGCTTAACTCTCAGTGAGGATGAGAAATTTGGGAACTCACACATTGTGTGTGGGCCAGTGTTGAAGAACATTACAGAGGGAGCAGGGGAGAGGAACAGGTGACCTGCAGGGGCTGGAAAGGGGGGGCAGCCAGGCCAGGGGTCAGGGTGCGGATGACCAGTCAAGCAACAGCGAAGTGTCAAGAACAAGGAAGAAGACGTGGGAGTGAAGTGTGGCCATTGCCATGGCACCAAATCGATTAAAAAATACCGTCAATAGATGATCTATCGAATAATAAGAAAATGCATCAAATCTAAAATGAAGTCACAAGAGACCATTTTTATTTGAAAATGAAAAACGTAGTAATCTCACTACAGAATTTACCATTCTGGTTGATGTGATGTATGACTTAAAAAAAATTTCATTTGTTAATTCTCAGCAGTGATTGCTGCAGGAACATTGCATTTCTATAAAGAATTTCTTTGCTGCTGAGAGATAAAGATTAAAATAAGTTTCCTCCAGATGCCTAAGTAATTAACCCAGCACCACCAATGCAACTGAACCTTTACTACAGCATACCTGCACCAGAAATATTTATTTTCTTGTTTACGATTGTCACCGACAAACCATTGATTCGATATAGGTCACTCTGCTAATTCTATGAATGTCATCTCCTGCCATTGAAAGATCAGTTTCAGAAGTGTCATTAGAAGCCAGTGAAATCCTGGAGAATTTTAGATGATAGCAGAAAGCATGTTCTTGAAAACAAGTTATCTTTACAGACTACTCTGTCTCTTAATGTAATTTAGATGCCCATCCAAGAAAAAGAAGCTTCAGAGAAAGAGGTAATTCTTCTGGCCAAGATGAAGCATCCCAACATTGTAACATTCTTCAGTTCGTTTCAAGGTTTGACTTTCTAATATTCTTCAAGTGCTTTAATAATAAAGTGTAGGCACATAGACATCTATAAAAGATACATTCCTGAGAACTGCGCACAAATTCATTTTTTGTAAATGGACTCATTTTCCCATTTACTTAAATCGTAATTTGAGACACTGTCTTTATTTCTTCTCTAGTAAAGTTTCTGTAGACAGCTTCCTTAAGTTTGATTAAGTTTTCCCTCCTCTCCTTAATTCTTGCTGCATCAGCAGTTAATGGCTGGTATATTAATCTTGCTACGGTAAGAACTCCTAAATTGTGGCCTCCAGGAATCCACATCTATTTCTCACATTACACGTTGGCTGTGAGTGAGTGGGGTCTTAAGTCTGGGGTCCAGGTGATGGAGCAGCCCAGATAAGGAGCATGCTCTTCTCCTGAGCAAGAGCAAGGGACAAGACACAGAGCCTGCCACACGATCACTCTCGGAGCCCTGCTAGGATGTGGCCTGTTTCTCACTTTCCTTCTGAGCTCCTGTTCCTGTCGGCTAAGCAGCCACGCAGTCAACCCTGATAACGTGGTGACTGGGAGGGTATACTCTGCCTTTGAGAGTTCTTGCCTGTGCTGGGGCAACAGGGGGGCCGTGCAATCCTGTTAGAGAAGGGCAGCAAACAGCCCGCACCACGGGCAAGCAAACAGCCACACTACAGGGGAGAAACTGTAAGGAAGCGGTTTCCTTCCTGTGGATGCCCGAATACAACATCTCTTCTGCCTTCATCTACCACCTGGCTCCAAGGTAAAA